TATCGACTTAAAGCTTGCACAGCTTGCACTTCGTCAGAAGGAAGAAGTAGATATTTTTTTAATATTGATGTGAGATGATGAATTATATCTAACGACCTACTTAGGGATTAAGTTCGAACATAAAGGATTTCATGACAGAAATATTCTGTAAAATTGTACATACTCTATATCGACTTAAAGCTTGCACTTCGTCAGAAGGAAGAAGTAGATATTTTTTTAATATTGGTGTGAGATGATGAATTATAGCTAACGACCTACTTAGAGATTAAGTTCGAACATGAAGGATTTCATGACAGAAAATTTCTGTAAAATTGTACATACTCTATATCGACTTAAAGCTTGCACTTCGTCAGAAGGAAGAAGTAGATATTTTTTTAATATTGATGTGAGATGATGAATTATATCTAACGACCTACTTAGGGATTAAGTTCGAACATAAAGGATTTCATGACAGAAATATTCTGCAAAATTGTACATACTCTATATCGACTTAAAGCTTGCACTTCGACAGAAGGAACAGGTAGATATTTAGTTAATCTTCATGTGAGATGATCAGTTATACCAAACGACCTACTTTTGGATTAAATTCGAACATAAAGGATTTCGTGACATAAAAGTTCTATAAAACTGCACTCATGATACATCAATTTAAAGCTTGAAACTCAAAGAAGAACACTGTATGAACAATTAATTATAATTCTCAGTATAAAATACCCAATCAGTTATAGTAAACGGTGACGAATTTCGAAATTCTATCAAACTTTGCTGCTAACAAGAATGCTACCTTAACTTTTAGACATTTGATGCTGACAAAAATTTCATAGAAAATAATTTCAACTGAGTGATACAAAGAATAGAGATATCAAGCTTAGAACAAATTTCAAAAACAGAAAAATAAACATTTCAAAAGACTCATCAAAAAATGTTTTTGAACCCTAATTTTAAAGTACATCGGAATTGTGAAGGATTAAAAAATGATATGCAAATATCTTACCCATCATCAGCGCCAAAATCATCATGCCATTTCCACCGCCCTTCTTTCCTCCGCCCCCACCACCACCACCACCACCTCCGAATCCTCCTCCGCCTCCGCCGCCTCTACCTGAAAAACAGAAGGTCATCAACGTGAACTCCACTTGAACAACCCTCAAACATCCCGCGCGAAATCAACCTTGATCAGCCGGAAGGCTCTCCTGCAGTGCGGACTCAATATTCTGCGGTAAGAAGCTGGGGAGTTTTATTCTGAGCTCCCTTCCCTCCAGGAACTGCACCAGCGAGCCCATGTTTCCGAATCCCTTCATGAGTCTTCCCTTCCTGGTGGGTCCAGAATTGGGTACCTCGACCAGACTGACTCCATCGAAGATCTCGATATTGGGTTCCTGGCTGGACTTCTCGAGCAGCTGTTGCACGATCTTCCTGACGATCCGTACACCGTAACAGGACACGGACAGGTTCTTCGCGTCCGCGCACCCCGAGGAGAATCCGTTCCAAACATCCTTGGTATCGTTGGTATCGACGGAGGAGACCCGCGACAACGCGCAGACGACCAGCAGACACAGCAGCAGACGTCCCCGTTCCCCGTGCCCTATGTTCTCGAACCAATCCATGGTAAGTCACCGAATTGTAGACGCGACACGAGAATACGAAGCGATAGATCCTGCGGAACCTACGGTGGAGGTCCGAGTGGTGCATCTAAGCAGGCTTCAAATCACGTTTATATAGTTGTACGAGCTGGTCGGCGATTGTACTACGAAAAAAGCAACGAGAGCATCGACGTCAGACCGGACCGTTCTCTTCGCGTGTGCATTAGCCGGCAATTTTTCGTTCGGTCGGGCGATCCTCTCGTGGATTTTTTTTAATTCTTGTTTCCGAGGTGTTTTAGAGCGTTACGCCGCGGTTGGCTGCGAGGTCGAAGCGAGCGGACGAGGATCAGCCAACGCCTATCTCCCTTCATCTCGTGCAGGATTTGCGACCGGTCTTTGTTCTAGATCACTGGATATCAGTGCGCTTGATACGATTCGCATCCTTTCTCTCTTTCCGTCACTTTAGTGGAGCAGAAGAGAAGGTGGCCGATTTCGAATCGCTCATCTTCCGATATCGCAATTAACGGATCCGCGTGGAGCCACGCGAGAGCGGCGCGCCACATATTAGCCACCATGAAGTCTCTTTTCCTGCCGTCCTATACGATTGCTGTCTGGAAAGATAATCGAACTGGAACCCTTTGGATTCAACAGTGGGAGGAAGGTTGATCGGTCTGGCCCGATCGACATCGCTCCGAAACTAGTTCATCTCGCCGCATACCTTTCTCTTCTGTTCCACTTCCCTTCGTGTACGATGCATATACGTAACATTGCCTGGTAGGTATAACTAGGCCCGGTTCGAAACTGTACGCTCGTTCCTCGCCACGACACCACGCCACGCAGACCCTCCTCGATCCCTCAAATTACTCCTTTTATCGCCTTAGATAAGATATTGCCTTAGATTTTGGGCAGCCTTTGTCAGGTTCATTGAGGTTCCATTGTTAGGTTATGAGGTTACACACATTTAATGAAATGTTTGCATAGGGAGAGTTTAGGGAGAGGACTTAAGAATTTGAAGGAAGCATAGAAAGGTCTCAGAATGTAACTTGATGAAAATTTGGACAGGATATTCAGATGACTGAGCTACCTATGGAGAGCATAGGTGATTTCTAGGGAAACTAAGGGGTCTATGAGAATTTTAGGAAGAGATCTAGGGTGTACGGTCTGAATAGAGTCTAGGAAAAGATCTGTGAGAACCTTTGGACCTAGAGAACATAGGGAGCCTATGGAGTTAAAGGACTTAGGGTACCTATGGATAGGGGACTTAGGGGACCTAGGAGCCTATGCAAGAAGCCTAAAGAGAACCTAAATAAAATCTGAGGAAAGTCTAAGTGGTTCGTAGACCTAAGGTAGCCATAACCTTCTGGGACATAGAGGACTTAGGGCACTTTGGGGTAAAGGACTTAGGGTACATATGGATAGGGGACCTAGAGGACCTAGGAGCCTATGGAAGAAGCCTGAAGAGAACCTAAATAAAATCTGGGGATAGTCTAAGTGGTTCGTAGACCTAATCTACCCTGACCTAGTTTAGCCTAAGGTAGTCTTCTGGGACCTAGCCTTACCTATGGGATAGAGAACTTAGGGTACCTAAGTGGAGCCTATGAAAGAAGCCTAAGAGGAACCTAAATAAAATCTAAGGAAAGTCTAAGTGGTTCGTAGACCTAATCTACCCTAACCTAGTTTAGCCTAAGATAGTCTGGAACCTAGAGACTTAGCTATGGGATAGAGGACGTAGGGGACCTAAGTGCCTATGGAAGAAGCCTAAAACGAACCTAAATAAAATCTAAGGAAAGTCTAAATTCCTAGACTAGTCTAATCTAACCTAACCTTCTATAACTCCATCCTTGAATGTTATCCACATATGTTTTCTTATTACACCCACATCTTCGTCTCAAGAAATACATATCCAATTCCATAAATTAAGATAGCATGCCAGTAAGCAAAAAAGTTGGCAATCGCAGAACCTAGATCTCTAATTGATCCGAGGTTTCTCTAAACACTTCCGTAACCGCAAGGAGAACGTTAGAATCCATCGTACGGAGAGAGGTTTTCTCCTCTCGAATGTGTGTCGACCCGTTCGATCATTCACAGACTCGTCGACACCGTTAAGATGTCCTCGTCTTAATAATAAGAGGATTCGATCAATATCCGATACTTTCTCCTCTCGCGACCAATTTCTCCGAATACGTTTGAAAACGGAAACGAAACCAGGCCATCGTGAAATTCCTTCGAATTTTCCAAACTGTTCTCGATTAGTCGACTTCGTTTCTTCTTTTTTTTTCGTACACGTGTCGATTTTTGTCCAATTTACGAGAATCGAAAACGGGGTCAACGATGACAGCCTCTTTCTCCCGGTTGTACCCGAAACCGAAAGTTGATCTTCGAGACACCTTCTTTCTCTTGGGTGTCCCTTATCGAAACGTCATCTCCTTTCTGATCCTTCGAGGCGGAGAAAGCGACTGGGAAATGGGGACAGCTTATTTGAATGAAGGATACGTTAACTTGTTTTCCCTTCGTCTTTGCCGCCATCGTTAGAAACATGGGGCGACATCTGTGACGCTTTCATCAATTATTCCGTTTCTCATCGAACATCATTTGGATCACGGATTTAGATGTAGATTCTTGACACACTTTAACAATGAAATATTATAAGTTATAAGGTTAAGTTATAAGGTTTTTTGTACAGGCATATATTATATATAGGTTTGTGACAGGTTAGTGTAGAAGGGTTGAGTAGTAACATTTAATAATGAAAATTAGGACAGTACTCAGTGTAACAAGGTACAGTGTTCAAGGTTACATATTCAACCTAACCTGACTAGCATAAGTGCAATCCAAGGAATTGATCCTAGGGACCACAGAATTAATATGACCGTCATAACAACAGGTTTTCTATGTCAAAATGGCAATACATTGAAGTATTGGAATCCATAAAATTTTGGGATTCTCAGAAACCTTCTATGGGTCTAGGGACCTTAGGAACCTAGAGGGATACAATACTTGAAGTAAATAAATGTCCAACATTTAATATTCCTAACAATTAGGTTAGTAGCTAATTAACTTAATAATGCAGTAATTAACTTAGTAGCAGGATTAGAATCTTTGAAATCCTAGGGTCCGTAGAAAGTACCTAGAGTCTCATTGTAGGGTCCCTAGGGTTCCTAGTTAATTAACTTAAGAATACAGTAATTAATGTGGGCGTCGAACTACCACGTATCGAATTACCACGCGTCGAA